TGTTTACAGGGATTGAGATACTGCTCATAACCTTGCCTCTTGGATTGCCTTGACCAAAAGCTACTGAACTCTAACCTCCCATGATGTCATACCAACTCTTAAAGCTGTGAATGAAGTGAGCATTTACTGCCATCATGTCAAACTCATTACACTTTTTAATCACATTGACACCAAAGAAATCCTTTCTAATATCTCTACGACACCCTTGTTGATGCACGTACCCTATTTGATGAACAAGACACGTGCACTACCACCCTCCGATGTTAGTCGTTTTGCCGAGATCACAATGTTTCGGTTTTTCTGGCACAAATATGTCAAGCATCTCCACACCCAGAAGTGTAATTATCCCTCCATTCATACATATTCTTTATAGTGTTTTATCATTCTTCATGGCATTTATGCATACCAAGAGTAGTTAAGGTGAGACTACTCCTACAAGGAAGAAGGTTGTGATGAAATCAGGTTGAAAAGTGAAGTTACTAGACATGCTAGCAGTATCTAAGTCACTACCAATGCCAGCACCTCAGCCAACACAGCCAGTACCTAGCTAGTACAGTACCTCAGCCACCTCGTCATCACCAACTTCAGAGATGGATGATTCTACAGAGGAATCATCCTGCTGACTTCCCACTGAAGACCAACATTTTCATCCTTCCTACAATTCATCATCAAAGTTACGTTAAGTATAATATTATTTACATTACAGTTTTTATTTATGTATCTATACGGCCAAATTGGTAACAACAATCAAGTGGAATGAATTTTGTGATATTCATGGTTTCCGAATTTGCTGGAACCTTTAAGAACATGACCTACTCCCCCTACATGCAAATACTGTGGAAGTACTGTATATAAACATGTTTGCTGATGAAGCAAAAAATGTAAAATAAGTAATAAAATGATTTTGTATCCCTGGATAAGTTAAAGCATATGGAGTGATATATTTACGATAGAATTTAATGTGAGGTAGCTAAATGTCATATAACAGAAACAGGAAAAAGCAAAAACAGGTCACATGACTACAGATTGTGTGAAAAATATTAAAAGCACCATAGAGGGAGATCTAGGAGTCATCTTTCTTGAAACATCACCAAAAATTTACATTAATAAAAATTGCAAGAAAATTATATTACACTAGCAAATCTTAATATAACTTTTAGATACTATATTTGGCAAACTGGAATATGCAGCAGTGATATGGTGTTTGCACCCTAATACGTACAGCAGAGTCCAAAAAATGGGCTAAAAAATACAAATTACAAAGCAAGGCTGAAAGCATCAGACACTGACTGACTGCTGATTAGTGTGAGGAAACAGAGATACACGATAACCACAGAATATAAAAGGATACAAAAAAATAGATAAGGAATGTTTCCTAACACCATTAAGGAGAAAAAGAGGCCAAAAAATAAACTGAGAAGGTAATGCTGAAACCTGAGCTAAAGTTCACTCCCTGCCCCAGCCAACTCAGATAATCACACACGCACACACACACATTCATGTATGTGCACACACAAAACACACGCAGGTGCACACACACAAAACACACGCAGATGAACACACACAGGCCCACAAACACATGCATACACAGGTACATGCATACACAGGCACACACATGCACACGCACACACATGCATGCAAGCAGACACACCTAGTCAAACACATCAAGAAAATAAAGAAAATTCACTAGTCCCAGAGCTAAGGGGTATGACCTACAAGGAGAGGTTAAGGAACTCAACCTAAAGACATTGGAGGACAGGAGAGATAGAGGGAACACAATTCAACATATAAAATACCAAGAGGAAGTGACAGGGTGGACAGAGACAGAATGTTTCTGAGATGGGACACAGGAACAAGGGGCCACAACTGGATGTTGAAAACTCAGATGAGTCACAGGGATGTTAGGAAGTATTTCTTCAGCACTAGAGTTGTCAGGAAGTGGAACAATCTGGAGAGTGACGTAGTAAAGGCAAGATACTCTATGCATATCTTTAAGGAGAGGTACAACAAGGCATTGAGAGCAGGGAGTGAACCTAGTAGCGACCAGTGAAGAGGCGGGGCCAGGAACTGTGAATCGACCCCTGCAACCACAAATAGGCGAGTACACGGACAGACACACACACACACACCCACCCACCCCCACACTCACTCACCCCCCCACACACACACGCACGCGCACACACACACACACACATGCACACGCGCACGCACACACGCACGAATGCAGTTACATGGAAGATTTAGTGGGTACATTTTGCTCACAGTGCATGTGTTGGGGGGTGGGGGCGCAAGTGTCATCAATAAAGGATTCATGTAATTGCATTTGTGTTCCTTACCATTACTGTGACAAACTAAACAATGTTATTTGATGTCCAAGCACATGTACTTCTCAGTTCATGAAAATTAGATGAAGTATTGTCAAGCTATTCAACAGCTTTAATGCCCTTATTAGAAGAAATAATAGGTAAGTGATAGCACAAGAGTGTTACAAGAAGTCAAAAGAATGATGTGAATCTATGGACAATATATTCCAAGCCAGAAGCATTTTATTTTGGGCTGTGTTAAGGTAGAAAATAGTTATATCAATGCACAATTAACCAGTAAATTGCAGATGAAAGTCAGACAATGTTTCTATCTGTACAAGACCATTTAACAAGTCACAGGTCAATCACAATTTGATAATGATTCTAGAATGAACCAAAACATAATCTAAGTTTCATCTACAATTTCTCAGGTGGTTGCGAACTGTTCCAGCCACAGTATAATGACAATTATTATTTAAGTCAATTTTAAATAAAAACTAGAAATATGCTAAGAGAAAATTAATACGCGACCTTTCTGTTAGTATGTACAAAAAAGACTGACAGATAAAATAAAACAAACAGCAGGGTTAGGTATCAGGTCTCTGATCTACCATAAAGTGACTATAGAGCTGAATTATTACACATTACAAAATCCCAAGATATACATATACAGTGCTCGTCACGGCATTATGCCGGGTGAGCGGCCCTGCATAATGCTGTGACGAAAATCAAAGGCCCACCATACCGGGGGAGGGGTCTTTTTCTGTCAGTGTGTTATGCCGGGTAGCAGCCATTAGCATGATGTCATGGCCTGCCGCCCCACTCCACAGTGACTCCTCAGTGCTCATGTGGCTGCCGTGGTGAGAGGAAGTGTTGCACTGTTTTCTCTCATCCATCCTATCTTTTGTCCGGTGTTCCCTTTGGTTTTAGGGCTATACATAGGGCTTCACGAAGCTGGGCACCAGACGAAAGAAATAGTGGAGAATGTTGGTGTGTGTGAGCGCTCAGTGAGGAACTGGGTGCAGCGTTTCAAGGCTGGTGGCGGTGTCGAGGTACCGTCTGCCAAGCCTCGGCATGGCCCCTCGAAGAAGACATCTGTTCGTACCTTAACTGTGTTAAAGAAGCAGTTAGAGAGTACACCTACAATAACTGCTAGAGAATTGAAAGAAAAGAACCCACAGCTTCTCTCAGAGTTGTCTGTAAGAACTGTTAGCAGAAGTGTGTCAGAACTGGGCTACAGTAGTCACTACCAGGTTTAGAAACCGATCCTCTCCAAGCCACAGAAAAAACATAGGCTGGACTATGCAAAGAAATATCTTCACTGGAATCCTCAACAGTGGTCTGAAGTACTGTCAAGTGATGAAGTAACCTTTACCATTACCTGTAACTGTGGTGAACATGTGTACCGGCCCAGAGGTAGTGACCCGTTGGACCCATGCTACACCTGCGGGACCATCAAACACCCAGACTTGCTCATGGTTTGGGGGGGTTTCAGTGCTCAGAGTGTTGGTAAACTCACTGTGCCTCCCAAAAACCAGTATATGAACCAGTATAATTACCTTGAGTTATTGTGTGACAATTTACCTGAAGTGCTTGACAAGTGTGGGGCTAGTTTTTATGCAGGAAGGTGCACTGAGTCATACCACTAAAACTGTAGTTCAGTGGCTTAAGAACTGTGAAGTGAGGTTCTTTTATGACTGGCCTGCAATTCCCCAGACCTAAACCCTATTGAGAACCTCTGGTCAATAGTGAAACAAAGTTTACTGGGCAAGGATATCAGTTCCAACCCGCAGCTGGATGCTGCTCTACATCAGGCATCGAATAATATACCTCGCCAAACCCTCAAGGATTTGTGCGAGTCTTCCTACACGGCTGAGGGATGTGATTAAGCATAAAGGATGCAGCACCAAGTATTAAAACCTCAGTAAGTGTGCAAATATATATATTATAATCTTTCATGGTATGTGCTTGTGTTTTGGTACATGTGTGGGGGAGGGGCAGCATAATGTCGTGACGAGCACTGTACAGTATTAAATTTTTAGCAATTTTGGTAAAGCTTTGTTAAGGTATATGGACCATAACAAACTACGTATTTCCTCGTATTAAAATCATAAATTAGCTCCCAAAGGTGACACCATGAAGCAACAAAACTTAAATCAGAACAACACACTTTATCCTTACTTTGCTATTGTGAAAAAAGTCCTAAAACTCTGATGACTATCAACTCATTTAAGGTACTAGGCAAGTTACGAAGGTTATGACATAAAAGTCGCCTTACTGTAAAGACAGTCTGCAAAAGAGGACCTTTGCTAATTATGACATAACAGCCATTTCCAGTCAAAATAGTCTGCAAATGTAGATAGATCTCTTGACAACAAAAACTCCTAAATTAGTCACCAGAAAGCTGCACTCATCAAAAGCAGTAGGGCAATCTATACCTTACCTAAGTGACTCGTATCTGAAGCAATTCTTTCATGCACTCTTTAAGTTATCATCCAGAAATGAACAGGAAGAAATAAAAAGAAAAAAGCTGATCCTATGATACGGATACCTGGCAACAAGTGCATTTATAGAAAATATTTTCATTAAGAGGAATATAATAGCTTAGAGTGACTAATGCCACTATATCCTTTATGGAATAAAGTTGTAGGAATACTGTATTTACATGCACTAATTTCTGTACTGCATTATGGACCTTCACAATTTATTCTACTAATCAATTATCCTGAAAACTTTCTAAAAAAATGGCAAAGGCAGCATACGGAACAACAAAATGCGTACAATACTATAAACATACTATTTTGCGGAATCTGTGAGCTGGTACTCTCTGCGTCTGTCATAACAATGCTGGATCCCTGTGTCTTGCCATAAAGATTTCATGGCAGTTACATATGGTTCCTCAAACGTTGTTACCGACTCGTAGTCCACCGATCGTACCAAATCTGCATGTTCCTGTAATTAAATTTTAAATGTATACAGATAATAGAATACATGGACTTGGAATTTAATAAAAAAAACACTGAAGAGGTATGGTGTACCCATGCATAAGAAATGTGTACAAACTAGAAAAGAGTTTAAAAACAGGATACAAATGACATCCAGGCATTTGTCATGCCCTCACTGACTAAAGAGGAGACATGATAACCATATTCAAGATCAAAGAATTGATAAGGGAAACATCCTATCACGAAGCCATAACAAGAGATCATAACAAATGAGGAGGAGGAGCTGCCAAAAGAATACAAGAAAGGTTTTTTTTCACAGGCATAGTATTAAAACAATGGAATTTTTTTACAAGAGATAGTAACTACTACAATCACTGGAAGTTTTAAGATGGGACAGCACAAGCTTAGCTCTGCTTCAGTAACTATCAACAGGTAAGAAGGTACTCAACAGGGAACCCAGAACTAAAGTCATGCAACACAAGAGTAGAAAGCTTAAAAAATTACCACAGGTGTGTTGCAACTTGTCTAAAATTTAATTAGCAATTTTTGTCTTAATGCCGGTACTATAAGTTTTTATAATTTGCCTATTTCTGATTTACCTGTGTATGCTCTTACTTCTTTTATCTACAAATTCAGAACCTCTCTAATTTTAAAAAACTAAATAAAGTATACAGTGGTACCTCAATAATCGTCTGGCCTGAAAGTCGTCCATCTAGGAAATCGTCGCGTTATTTCGTCTAAACATTGGCTCGCAAATGGTCCGTTATCTCGCTAATCGTCTTTCATCCTGGATGCGTACTCGTGGCTCTGAGCGCCTCGGCCTCCCTTCCCAGCCAGTGTGCCATTGTTTACCAGTGAGCGAAGGTCCCCTCACGTGTTCATACAAAATATTTCATAATATTCCATTCATTTCAGTGCTTGCAAGTGCTAAATAAGCTACCATGGCTCCAAAGAAAGCTCCTAGTGCCAAGCCTTTGGTAAAGAAGGTGAGAAATACGATTAAATTTAAGAAAAACATCATTGAACAATATGAAAGTGGCGTACGTGTGGGCGAACTGGCCAGGATGTATAACAAATCCCATACAACCATATCTTCCATCATAGCCAAGAAAAAGAAAAGCAAGGAAGCTGTTGTTGCAAAGAGGGTAAATATGCTGACAAAATTGAGATCACCAGTGCTCGAAGATGTTGAGAAGTTATTATTGGTGTGGATAAACGAGAAACAATTAGCAGGAGATAGTCTTATGACGTCGATTATTTGTGAAAAGGCTAGGCAGTTGCATGACGATTTGGTAAAGAAATTGCCTGCAACTAGTGGTGATGTGAGTGAATTTAAGGCCAGCAAAGGCTGGTTTGAGAGATTTAAGAAGCGTACTGGCATACACAGTGTGATAAGGCATTGTGAGGCTGCCAGTTCGGACCAAAAAGCGGTTGAAAAATATGTGCAGGAATTCAAGGAGTACATAGAGGCTGAAGGACTGAAACCTGAACAAGTGTTCAACTGTGACGAAACAGGCCTCTTTTGGAAGAAAATGCCAAAGAGAACCTACATTACTCAGGCACTGCCAGGACACAAGCCTATGAAAGACAGGCTGACGCTCATATTTTGTGCTAATGCTAGTGGGGATTTCAAAGTGAAGCCGTTACTAGTGTACCATTCTGAAAATTCCAGTGTTCAAGAAAAACAATGTTGTGAAGAGTAAATTGTGTGTGTTTTGGAAATCTAATAATAAGGCATGGGTCACGAGTGAAATTTTCGTCGAGTGGTTCAATGAAGTGTTTGGCTGTAGTGTGAAGAATTACCTCCTGGAAAAGAAATTGGATCTCAAGTGCCTCCTAGTAATGGACAATGCACCTGTTCATCCTCCAAACTTGGATGACCTAATTCTGAAGGAGTTTGGGTTCATCACAGTAAAGTTCTTGCCCCTGAATACCACTCCTCTCCTCCAGCCCATGGACCAGCAGGTCATTTCAAACTTTAAAAAACTCTACACCAAAGCAATGTTTGAAAGGTGCTTTAATGCGACCTCAGACACCCACTTGACCCTAAGAGATTTTTGGAAAGAACACTTCAGTATTCTCCATTGCATAAGCCTTATAGGTAAGGCTTGGGAGGGAGTGACTACCAGGACTTTGAACTCTGCTTGGAGAAACTTGTGGCCAGACTGTGTCCACAGGAGGGATTTTGAAGGGTTTGAGGTGGCCCCTGATGAGCCTATGTCAGATGTGAACTCTATTGTGGCACTGAGGAGTTCAATGGGGTTGGATGTGAGTTTGGAGGATGTAGAAGAGTTGGTGGAGGACCACAACGAAGAGCTAATCACTTAGGAGCTACAAGAGCTTCAGCAGGAAGAGCAATAGATCACAGCTCAGAATCTTGCTGCAGAGGAGGAGGGAGAGAGATGGAAGAAGGTGCCTTCTTTAGAAATTAAGGAGATTTTTAAAATGTGGGGTAGGATGGAAAGATTTACGGAGAAACATCACCCTGAGAAGGATGCTGCAAGCCATATCGGCAACTCTTGCAAGCCATATTGGCCCACTTTAGGGAAGTTTTAACCCTTTCAGGGTCCGTCCCGTAGATCTATGGCTTCACGTTCAGTGTCCAAACTGTAGATCTACGCCAAAATTCTAGAGGCGTCAAATTTAGCGCAAAAATGCTCATAGGCCTACATGTGAGAGGATGGGTCTGTGTGGTGCGTGTGCGCCGTAAACAAAAATTATATGTGCCCGCATAGCATTGTGGGAACGCCGGCTCAGTTATCTTCGTTCACCATGCCTCGTCGCAAGGAAGCTCTCACTCCAAGGAAAATTGGGACTCTCCTCTTCCTATCTGATAGTTCTGACACTGATGTTAGTGGAAATGAAGACGAATTCTTTGGCTGTGATCAGTTAGTGACTGAAAGGAATGACCAAGATATCGATAATAGCTCAGAAAACCCTGACGATCCTCAACCTTCTACCTCTGGTGTGGGCACTCCTCAGTCACAGTCAGTTGTACCTCATCGCAAGAGAAAATTATTATTTTCGCGTGGCCAGGCCTCTGACTTCAGTAATGATGATAGTGACATGGATTGTGATTTTATTGCTCTTGACGATCATTTGAGTAGTGATAGTGACGAATCACATTCACCAGTGAAGTGTCGGTATGCACGCTGATGCATGCGCTCGGGTAGTGTACCCTATGCAGTGCCCAGGGACGAAGTACATCCCGTGGCCCTACACCAGGAATAGATAGTGAAAGTGAGGATGATGTGGCTACACTTGGCATGGATAGACCACAGGCATCAGTAGATGGTGGTAGTGGTGATGGTAGTGCCACGGCCATGCGTGACTCACCAGCCCAGGCTGGGATCCACGCTGCTGACTCCTCAGTTCAAGGACAAAGTGGAGCATCAGCCACCACAACCACAACTACCCACACAACCAGCCTATGATGTCCAGTATCCACCAGCAAACCGTATCTGGGATTGGCAGCAAAATCCCAATTTTTTTTCCCAAGCCCCACCACTTTGATGACTCTCAAAGTGGAATTCTACCTACTTGTCCCCATGGAACCACGGCCAATGAACTGGAATTTTTTTAAATATTCTTTGACCAGCCCTTGATGGAAACTCTTGTCAGGGAAAGTAACAAGTATTTTGAGTACACCATGGCAAATACGATGATATCACCACAGTCAAGACTACACCGGTGGAAAGAGACGACTGTTGCCAAAATGTATTTGCTTTTTGCAACAATAATACTTATGCCTCATGTCTATAAGCATACTGGTCCACAGATCGGCTAATTTCTACCCCGGTCTTCAGTGAACAGGTTTATCTTACTCTTACGTATGTTGCACTTCTCTGACAAAACCAGGCCTGACAGAAGTGACAGGTTATACAAGATTAGAAATGCTTTTATGTATCTCAAACAAAAGTTCAACATGTACTTTTATCCATTCAAGAATCTTGTAATTGACGAGTCTTTGATTTTGTTCAAAGGTAGGCTGTCATTAAAGCAGTATATATCAAGCAAGAGGAAACGCTTTAGTATAAAACTGTTTGTACTCTGTGACTGTGACAGTGGCCTGGTATTGGATATTGGATGTAAAACATTGAAAGATACCAAGATGTCATTGGATATCTCAGGTGACGTAGTGAGAAGCATGATGGCACCTTATCTTGGTAAGGGGCATACATTATATACCGATAACTGGTACACAAGCCCTTTACTCAGTGATTTCTTGCGAGTGAACAAGACAGATGTGTGTGGCACAGTGCGTTCTAATCGTAAACATATGCCCAGGTTCAACACAGGTGCTCGTGGTGATGAAGTGCAGGTGTTTACTGCCAATGACATCATGGCATTATGGTGGCATGAAAAACGAGATGTCACATTGTTGACACCATTCACCATAACAAAATGCAAGACAGTGGCAAAGTTGATCGAGTGACTAATGAACGTATTCGAAAACCAGTGACAGTGACTGATTATACACAAAACATGAGCTTGGTTGACAAATGTGACATGCAGATTGGCTTTGTTGATTGTGTTTGTAAGAGTTACAAGTGGTACATGAAACTTTTCTTCCATCTCATGGACATTTCAATGCTCAATGCATATAATATGTACCAAATAAAGACTGGCAACAGACCACCGTATGGTGAATTTTGTTTGTCTGTTGTCAGACAACTCATAATGAAGTACCAGGTAACAACACCTGCTATACAACAAGGTCCTCGAATTCCTCAGAATATACCCAAGCGTTTGAGGAGGGAAGGTGATCATTTCATAATACAGCTTCCTTCAACTAAGAAGAAATTTGCTCAGAAGAGATGCATTGTCTGTGCACAAACAAAACAAAGGCAACAAAGACACTTGGTTTATGTGCGAGGAATGTAAGGTACCTCTGTGCATGGTGCCTTGTTTCAAGGAGCTCCACAAGCTCCAGCGGTTCTAAAACCATGTCCAGTGATTGTAAATATGTAAATATATGATAGAACATTAGTATTATACAAGATTTGT